TGAAAATGATATTGGCCAAGTGGCTCCCGCCAGAATTGATGACCATACAATAATAGTTCTTTAGTAGCACTGAATAACAACTAAAATTAGAACGAACACTAAACGTAAAACTAGAAAGTTACTTAAATATAGTAGATACAAAAAGTGGGCCAATAACAATTTTAAAGTTTTATTTAACTATATTAATTTTAAAATTTCATTTAAGTCATTCATTATTTAAAAGAATTTTTTTAAGTTCTTGTGTGATTCGACATAATGGAGCTCCAACAACATTATTATAATCCCCATCGATTTTCTTTACAAAAGAACCAGCAAGTCCTTGAATTGCATAAGCTCCAGCTTTTCCCCTACAATAAAAAAAAATATATTTCTCATCTCAACATTAATATAAAAAATACATGGACTCTCCAGATTCCACATAAGATAATATTTCAGCGTCGGTTAACGATTCCATAAAAATGGTTGTGCTTTCACAAAATTTTGTGTATCTTCCTTTATAAAAGATAGCAACACCAGTTAAGCAAGTATGGGGAGATCCTGAGGATAATCTCCTGATAATTTGAATGGCATCATCTTTGTCTTTCGGTTTTCCAAAGAAATAATTATCACAACATATCATAGTGTCTAATCCGATTATTAAATCTGGTGGTTTATCATCATTTTTTAATTGTTCGTAAACTTTTTGTACTTTTCCCAAAGCTGTTAATTCTACGTATTCCGAAAAAGTGTATTTATTTCTATCCAAATTTTCTTCAAAATCGGACGTTTTTATTTCAAATTTAATTGGCTATAACAAAGTTGATTTATAACATTTTCTGTTAACATATTCTAAAGTTATTACAGTTTTCTTAAAGATATCGATACGTTGTTTCGAACTCGTCGCCAATATAACTCTCATATTGTTTAAAACTTCAACCAAAGGAGATAACATTTTTTAATATTTTTAACCTATGTAGGCAACCAAATATGCTCAATCAATATCGTGTAGTTGCTCGCCCTTTAAATATTGATTTTCTTATTCCTTTTCTAACTATAATCTGAACCATATTTTATTAAAAAAATAATTGTACGGTCATGAAACATGACATGTAATCATTAATATTTATTTATTTATTGAGTTTTGATACTTACAAAAATAACCTGGAGTGTTGTTAAAGTTGAAATGAAACCAATCGCTTTTTATGTTGTAAAAAAGATGTTTCTTTTTGATATTTTATATTATAATTATAATTTTTTATACTTAACTTTATGTTTAAACAAGCTATTTTCACAAAAACAATCCAAAAACGACTTCGTTGAGGTTATGTATTCACGAGTATTTTGTAAAATGTGATGCATAACCACATAAATTGATTCTATAGATTCAATATTTGGAAAATATTTTGAAATAAGACGCAAATGATATAAGGAAAGATATACGAAGAACATCACTTATAGATAAAAAAGAGACAACACTTTACTTTTCTAAAGCACTGTGTATTATAGTAAAAAGTTTTTTTTTTATTTTAGTTAAAGTAGGATCAAGATCATATCCAGAAAGTAATATTTCTCTAGCAGATAGTACAACTCTTTTTGCTTCTATAATTGACTAATGACAATAATGACAATTCAAACGTCAAACATAACCTATTTCAAAACTTCAAAAAAACATTGTTACCAACACTTTTTAATATTTAAATTTTTTGTAACTTAAAAATATTTCTTCATATTTAATATTTTTTTTTTATATTATGCATAGTACAATTGCATAACACCTAGTAAATACATACATACTAATTAGTTACTTATTTTTAACACTAAATTAAACTAGATGCAGCTTTTCCCAGTGGTCCAGTCTGCTTTACCCATAATAATAGATAAATATTGTCATATTTTGACCGTTTTAAGACCAAAACACAAAACGCGCACACTGCGATACGCGGAACACGTTGTTTTTGTTATAATTCCGCACTATTGCTCGCGTTTGAATCGACTAGGGCACTAGGTCACTAAATCGAACGGCTTCATCCTTGAAGGCGACGCAGGATATCCTCGTTGTCGAGAAGCTGGATGGCCTCGATGTTGGGATGATCGTGCATTCTCTTCTCATGTTTACATGCAAATGATGCAATTTCTGATGACACCGATGCTACTTTCAAGTCGCGATGGAGGTCGGTGTTTCTTATATACCAGGGTGCATTCACTATGCACCTTAGTACTTTGTTCTGGAATCTTTGAATCAGACTTGCATTTGTCTTGCAGGTACAACCCCACAGTTGGATTCCGTATGTCCATTTTGGTTCTAATACTTGTTTGTATATTAACAACTTGTTTCTTAGTGATAGCGTTGATTTTCTGCCAATAAGCCAATATAGGTGTCTAAATTTGATATCAAGTTCCTCACGTTTTTTTTTGACGTGAGCTTTCCAATTGAGTTTAGCATCTAGCGTCATACCAAGATATTTTGCGGTGTCGGCGTAAGGAACTGCATTGCCATTTATGTGTACTGGGACATAGTTTACTTTCTTGTAAGTAAAGTTTATGTATGTCGATTTATTTGCATTTAGTTTTATTACCCATCGTTTGGTCCAGTTTTCTATTGAATTTAATGCCAATTGTAACTTATTTGCTGCAACTACTTCATTTTCTGCAACAGCCAAGATCGCTGTGTCGTCTGCGAATGTAGCTGTTAAAGTTTCTGGTACCTGAGGAAGGTCGAATGTGTAGAGTAAGTACAATGTTGGGCCAAGCACACNTTTCGGCGTCGGTTAACGATTCCATAAAAATGGTTGTGCTTTCACAAAATTTTGTATATCTTCCTTTATAAAAGATAGCAACGCCGGTTAAGCAAGTATGAGGAGATCCTGAGGATAATCTCCTTATAATTTGAATGGCATCATCTTTATCTTTCGGTTTTCCAAAGAAATAATTATCACAACATATCATAGTGTCTAATCCGATTATTAAATCTGGTGGTTTATCATCATTTTTTAATTGTTCGTAAACTTTTTGTACTTTTCCCAAAGCTGTTAATTCTACGTATTCCGAAAAAGTGTATTTATTTCTATCCAAATTTTCTTCAAAATCGGACGTTTTTATTTCAAATTTAATTGGCTATAACAAAGTTGATTTATAACATTTTCTGTTAACATATTCTAAAGTTATTACAGTTTTCTTAAAGATATCGATACGTTGTTTCGAACTCGTCGCCAATATAACTCTCATATTGTTTAAAACTTCAACCAAAGGAGATAACATTTTTTAATATTTTTAACCTATGTAGGCAACCAAATATGCTCAATCAATATCGTGTAGTTGCTCGCCCTTTAAATATTGATTTTCTTATTCCTTTTCTAACTATAATCTGAACCATATTTTATTAAAAAAATAATTGTACGGTCATGAAACATGACATGTAATCATTAATATTTATTTATTTATTGAGTTTTGATACTTACAAAAATAACCTGGAGTGTTGTTAAAGTTGAAATGAAACCAATCGCTTTTTATGTTGTAAAAAAGATGTTTCTTTTTGATATTTTATATTATAATTATAATTTTTTATACTTAACTTTATGTTTAAACAAGCTATTTTCACAAAAACAATCCAAAAACGACTTCGTTGAGGTTATGTGTTCACGAGTATTTTGTAAAATGTGATGCATAACCACATAAATTGATTCTATAGATTCAATATTTGGAAGATATTTTGAAATAAGACGCAAATGATATAAGGAAAGATATATGTACGAAGAACACCACTTATACACAAAAAAAGAGACAACACTTTACTTTTCTAAAGCACTGTGTATTATAGTAAAAAGTTTTTTTTTTATTTTAGTTAAAGTAGGATCAAGATCATATCCAGAAAGTAATATTTCTCTAGCAGATAGTACAACTCTTTTTGCTTCTATAATTGACTAATGACAATAATGACAATTCAAACGTCAAACATAACCTATTTCAAAACTTCAAAAAAACATTGTTACCAACACTTTTTAATATTTAAATTTTTTGTAACTTAAAAATATTTCTTCATATTTAATATAAAATATTTATTTATTGTTCCATTTAATTGATGATAATGTAATTTCGAAGATTTTCTTTTAAAACAGTTTAAATATTTATTAGCTTCTATAATTGACTAATGACAATAATGACAATTCAAACGTCAAACATAACCTGTTTCAAAACTTCAAAAAAACATTGTTACCAACACTTTTTAATATTTAAATTTTTTGCAACTTTTAAAAATATTTCTTCATATTTAATATAAAATATTTATTTACTGTTCCTTTTAATTAATGATAATGTAATTTAGAAGATTTTCTTTTAAAATAGTTTTAAAATATTTATTAGATCATTAATTACATTAAGATACCTGTTTATTGTATAAAAAAAGTTATGCGCGAGTAAGTTAGCGGATATTTTTATTATAAACATCTACCTTCTTGTAAATGAACTCAAATAGAGTTGTCGTTAGTGTTTTACGGCTTATTTTCGACCTGGAGAATTTATTTCGCGGTATTTGAAAAACGTATTTTTACGATAAAAATGGTTGGTTTGTGCCAAATTTTATCTATTTCTAGACGCGAAGAGATTATTTTCAATTTTCCTTTGTGTCCAAATGGGCGAGGCGATAAATTACAAGTTGTTTTTTTATTTTTTTTACCTTTGAAATGATATTAAATCGCAAGATTGAACACAGATTCCAACATATTGGCAAGGTTTTCGGGTTATTTTGATTTCTGATCACTATTTTCTCAATTAATATATCTCCAATTTGATTCTGTGTAACTAAATATGTTTAATAGCGACAAATAAATTGAATGCATGCTAAATTTATATTTAAAAAGAAATTTTTTGAAAAATTATGATTACTTATATTTTATTTCAATTGGATGATTAAAAATTATACAATTTTGTGAGAACAGGAATTACTCAACAGCTCGTCAGTCAACTCGAAGGACATTAAGCTGACTGCTGGGTAAAATTATTTTTTGTCTAACTCATGGAAACTTCTCCCCCACCAGTGACGTAACAGGTGATTACCAAATTCGTCAAGCGCTGAAAGTTTTTTGAAGGCACACTTCAATTGCTTCAGTTCCACCGTTCGTTTGTGGTTAACTATTAAGACTTCTTCCTTCAGGGTAAGTCAACATTAATTAAATATATCTTTTTTTCACATTATTTATCTCAACCACTAAATCATTTTTGTTTTCCATAAAACAAATATTTTAAATTTTCACAATTTTAACATAATCCTATGACAAAGTACTTTTCCTGTTTAGACACAAAATTCTTGGCACACCATGTTTTTAGAAACTAGTTAAAGATTTTTAACTCGTTAAATCGTTTCGGAAATAACCCAGATAGTTACAGATTTTCCATCGACAAGTTATATTAAAATCACTAAAAAATCTAAATTTAAATCTTTTTGGCTTCGGTTCATTGATTTTAAGACTTAATCATAAAATGATTTTATTACTCAATTTAATCCGAGTCAATAAATTTAAGTGTTTTGAGTTGGAGAAGTTCCATTTTAATTTTTTTGAAATCTAAATTCCATTTAAAATTTTTTACATAAAAGAAATTCTTAAAGTCGAATTCCTTTGGTGTTAAATTTTTGTCTGGACGTAATCCAACCGGACCACCATAAACTTATTTTTGCTACCATTCCAAAGAACTTCCTAAACACGTTCGAAATCGTGCGCAAAAACGTTTGCTTAGCCCCTATTTTCGTATGAGTAATGGTAAACAAGAACAATGTCTAACGTAAACTTGGCACTTTTGAAGTAAATCGACTTCGAAAAGAGTATAAAGGCGTGTATTGTTTTATTTTCAGGGCGTTGAAAAAAGAGTAACAGCAACTAAACGAAGTAATAATGCCGAGTCCGTCCGAAACGAGGAATTTACTAACAACTTTTATGATCCTCATCATTCTTCTGTTACTTTTATGGATACTTTATTCAGGTGTTCATAGCTAGAAGGTAAAAAAAGAATTAAATTTTTTTTTTAAGCTATTTCGTTTTTCGTCCAGGGACAAGTCTCGATCAATGTATTGGTCGATTTGGTAGCCATCCAACTGCTTTTAAAACGCTTCAAATATTCTTTGAAACTTATTAGTGCCATGCTTACTAAAAATAAACACTACACAGATGTTCTTCATCGTTATAAAAAGGAAATTTGTTCGAAAAAATGTAAAAATTTCTGAGATTATCTAACATCAACAAAAAAAAATTCTTTTAACTATTTTTAGATTATTTAGTGTCATTTTAAGATTAGATTTATTTTTAGTGATTTTATAACATTTTTAACAGAATTTTTATGATTTTTTTACAACCATAAAGTAATAGCTAAAATTTAATTTGAAATTTCAAAGAATTATTTTTATTATTTATACAAGTAATAAATTTATCTTATTATTCATCAGTTAAATTATAATCGTATTAGTAAATTTATGTCTTGATACATTTTTTGTTATCCAAATTATCTTGTTATAATATATTTTTATATAATTTACAATACTCCTCAATGTAGCTTTAAAACCTTTTATCAGAGTGAAGAACAACATTTTTATGTAGAGCAATTAGAGTAATCAGGCACTAAATATAACTTTGTATTCAAGGCTTATTCGTTGAAACAACACGTGTATAACGCAAGCACAAGTAAAGTCGATTACATTATAGATCTATAGTTATACGTATAAACAAGGTTTTGTTTCTTGATACTTGATTTATGTTGGTTAGTTATAAATATGCAAATAGTGCCAAATTTATCTGTTTTTTGTTCATTCAAATTTGAATCACAAAACTTTGTAATGTGGTTAAGTGAATTTAGCCACAATGATGAATTTGTTATAAAACCTGAAATATTTAGGAAGAGAGCTGCTCAATTACAGTTACTGTTATTTTACTAAATTTAAAACTTTAGTTTTGATATGTTCTCGTAGAATGTTATAGTATACGCACATAAAATGGCTAAAAAAATGTCTATTGTATGCATTAATTAACACATCCATAAGCACCCAACCTTATAAGTTCAAAATAGTTTGCTAAATACTTTGTCATAACTTTAATTTAAGTTGAGCTTGGTCACTACATCGATACAAATCTACAAAGTTTTAAAGATGTATGAGTTATTCCAGCCGAGGTCGTTTGCGGCCGAGGCGCTACATCGATACAAAAGTACACTGACCGGCAAAAAAAACCGGCCACCAAAATGTAGCCACAATTTCAAAGCTGGCTTACTCGCGAACCACTCATTCGATTTTGATGATTCTTTTTTTGATCGAAACGTTGATTCTTCTGTAATAATCCTGCGATATAAATTTTTATTCGGATATTAATTTGAGCATATACGGGTTGCAAGAATGAGAAAAACTTTTGTTTCTCGAAATTTGTAATACCCTGTGGGATGCAACTGCTACAGCAGAGGGTGTTAACTGGAATCAAATGGTAGCCCAATCTATTCTGAGCATTTTGTTTTTTTATTCACTCTATTATCTCTGTTACTAACGAAGATGCAGTATTTTCAAGCGATCGCCTGTGAAAACAAGACGAGTGACAATAGTAGCTGATGACCGTTTTATTGTTCTAAGCAATCGTAGAACGACAGCTGTAGAAGCTCGGTGTCGTCTTCAAATGGTGCATGTCGTTGATGTCAGTGAGCAATTGCGGTAAACTCTTCTTCAAAAGCACTTTGTAACTCTTGAAGGTTGTCCGGTAGGACAGGACGACGACGAATGCGTCTCTCAAGTTGGTCCCAAAGATATTCGATAGGGTTAAGGTGCGGGCTGCACGCGAGCCACTCTATCCGTTCAATACCCTACTTCATCAAGATATTCGTTAACCACACATGCTACGTGCGGTCGCGCATTGTCATGCATTAGCATGAATCCGTCACCAATAAAATGGGAATAGAACCTCCATGGAAAGGTACTCTTTCCGAAATGGTGCAGGTCGCAAACCTTTCATTACGACGTCTCCACACTCACTCTCGACCATCAGGTGACCGGAGTTGTGCCATTCCCTAATTCATACGTACGCGCCCAAATTGAAGACGTGCTCGCCGATGTCTCTGGAGCAGCCGAGGTCTTTTTGCAGGTCTTCTTGCAGTCAGATCACTTTTATCAAGTCTTCGATGAATAGTTCTTTCACTTACGCCAACCCCACGCACCATCTGAAGAGGATGCCGAGTTTCTACAGCTGTCGTTCTAAAATTCCTCAGAGTGTTTAGAACAATAAATCGGTCATCAACTGCTGTTGTCACTCGTCTTCTACCGAAACCTTGCCGCCTAGTGAAATTTCCTGTTTCCACATATTGGTTCCAGGCATCCTGAACTGTTGTTCAGGGTACACCCAACGTATGGGCAACGTATTGCTGACTTTTGCCATCCTCAATTAAAGTAACAATAGCCGCAACATCAGTTACTGACAACGGGATTGCTATTATGTTAAAAGACTGTAAAAATCTTAAACAACTGTCAATTTACTATTCGAAACAAATGACATACGCTACCTAGCGTGCCACCTTAGCTTTTTTTATGCTTGTTTGTCTTGTTTTTACAGGCGTTCGCTTTAAAACACTGCATCTTCGTTAGTAATAGAGATAATAGAGTGAATAAAAAAACAAGATGTTCAGAAAAGATTGGGCTACCGTGTGATTCCAGTTAACACTATCTGCTGTAGCAGTTGCACCCCACAGGGTATTACAAATTTCGAGAAACAAAAGTTTTTCTCATTCTTGCAACCCGTATATGCTCAAATTAAAATCTAAATGAAAATTTCCAGGATTTTTCGCAGGATTTTCGCAGGATTATTACCGAAGAATCAACCTTTCGATCAAAAAAACAATCATGAAAATCGAATGTGCGGTTCGCGAGAAAGCCAGCTTTGAAGTTTTGGCTAATTTATAGTGGCCGGTTTTTTTTGCCGGTCAGGTTATATATTAAAAGTTGATTCACAATTAAGCAAAGAATTCACCGCCATAATGGTCATAAAGAAATGTCAACTTTTCAATAATTTTTGTGCAAAATGTTTCTTCGCGGTGTATTAATTTCTACCTCTTTTTCAGTATAGATTACAAAATAACATAAATTTGTGTAAGTTAAGTGCATCTGACCTTGTACTTGATAATAATATGGATGATTTTGATTTAAACAAATCTTCTTCTCGTTGAAATAAGTAAACATTTTCTTTCTTCTGCAATTGTTGGTGTTAGGTGTCTTGCAATTAATGGGCATTTTATTTCAATAATCGAATTGTCGTCCGTCATTCAATCCGGATTTGCAGCCAAAAAAGTGGATGACCTTTATCAACGAATAACCCACAATTCTTTACTTTTCTATTGAGCTTTTTTTCAAAGGTTCAAAGATGATAGAACCAAGTTTGGTGTTGTCCCAAAGTAGTCCTTTCAAATTCGAAAATTTTTGTAATATCTACTACTAAATCTTCTAAAAAGTTTTCTTTTTTCTTGATGTACTAAGCAACGTCGCATAAATCATCATATTCTTTAGCAACCTTAAGTCCATAATTATTGTCATATACACATGTATTATTATTACGCTTCTTACGTTGCCGTCATTTATACCTCCTCAACACAGCTTTCTTAGTAATATATAAATTTGTATAACTCATTTATACAGGGTGTTTCATAACATATGCGCAGGACTTCAGGATGTGATAGCTTGCCCAAAAATTTGAAAAAAAGCTTCTATCAACTTACCTTCTAAAATGCACCATTTTCGAGATACAGGGTGTTGAAATTTAATAAAAAAAATCGTTTTTTACGAATATCTCCGGAACCGTTTATCGCACAGAAAAGAGCGTTTGTCCAGTACCACACCATAACTTGTTTCTACGCATTCACCAAGGACTATGGGAAAATGGTAGTTTTAAAAAACATTCTGCTGATAATGGACGGCTTATGGAAGTTGTAAATCCCCAAGCAGAAGATGCTGTCCTCAACGAAATTGATGAAAATCCAACCACAAGTACCAGAAAAATTGTTCACAACTTAAACCTATATCACTCGATGGTTTGGAGAATTTTGAAAAGGCAACTTTTGTTTCCCTACCATATCCAAAGAGTACAAGCCTTAGATTTTCCGCCACGATTAGCTTTTTGTACATGGATGTAAGACAAAATAGCACAAAATCCTGAGTTTGGAGCCGATGAAGCATCTTTCTCGAAGGATGGTATTTTCAATTTTCACAATAACCACATATGAGCAGAAGAAAATCCTCAAACAAATCAGCAACAATTTTCCGTAAATGTTTGGGGTGGCATCGTCGGTGATCATTTGATAGGCATTTTTTACCGAACAGATTAAACGGTGCAGATTATTGACAATTTCTAGAAGAAGTACTGCCGGAACTGCTGAAAGATGTACCGCTTCAAGTAAGACAAAACATGTACAAACTTCATGCAAGATGGAGCTCTGGCCCACTTTAGTTTGGTTGCTCGCCCATACTTGCTCGAGGAGGTCCGCACCCTTGGCCACCGCGATCTCCCTTAATTGTTTAAATTTTTTCTTTTGGGGCCATCTGAAAACCCTAGTCTACGCTACTCCAGTTGAAAATGTTGACCAATTAAGAGAGAGGATTGTTGTATCTTGCGACATAATTCGGAACACTTCTCGCATGTTAGCAGGAAAATTCCCGACTACAGTCAATTTTCTACAGTCAATGCGTCGAAGAATTGCTGCGTGCATTGAAGCTAATGGCGGACATTTTTATTTCAAAAAATTGACCACATAAAACTTGATTTTTCTCGAAAACGGCCAACTTTAGAGCTCATGACCTTCAGCACCTTTTTTGTGTAGAAAACATTGACAGTTCAAATGGGCGTCTCAAATCCGTACTTTTTCCAGTGGCGTAGAAGTTGGGGAGAAAAACAACCACTACCCCTTCAAAATCTTCACCAATTATGACATTAAAAAAAAATTTTCTCGCACAAAACTTAGCTTATTATGAGTAGAAAATGCTTACAAACGTTGTTTTCTGTACGATAAACGGTTCCAGAGATATTCGCAAAAAACGATTTTTTTCATTAAATTTCAACAAACTTTTTTTCAAATTTTTGGACAATTTTGGAAAAGTAGGACCAATTTGAAATTCTTTGCAGTGTTTTGAATCAATACTTTTTGAAAATTGTATTCAAATTTAGCACTATTTTTTGTATTTTTGCTACTTTGTGTCCTTGCCTGTTCGTCATAAACATTGGAATAGTCAATATTTCCTATAGACTTATCAATTACTTTTCTATATTATTCTAAAAATACTTTTCTATTAAGCCATAACCATTTTTTCCTATTCATTAAGATTCGTATTCTAAACTGCTTGTATCAAATTCTAATATTAAAATTAGGTTTAATATCATTTTTTGATAATTTGATAAATTTGATTTGACAAATTTTTACAAAGTCTCTATCCGATCAAAGTGAATTAAAGTCTCAAATTTCCTTTAAAATAACCCGGATTCGATAATATACAAATGATGTTAATGGGCGGTTATTTATTGATTCTTGTCTATCGAAACAAGTTCCTGTACCAATTGTAAATCAATGTCAGTTAAACTGGTAAATTTAGATCGACTTTACAACGTTTTCGTAAGCTATGCCAAAATTACAAAACAATTTCTCAAATATTTTCACTAATTAGACCTAAAAAAAGTAAAATTTGTTTCAAAACAGTTTACGTTATAAATTAAGGGATCGTCCACCTGATGTTTTTTTCATTTTTTTCTGGCAAACGTTCATTACAAAATTAAATTGTTCGTAACATTCAAGTGAATAAATGGTACTCCGTAATCGCCTCGAAATAGTAAACGAGATTTATTTCTGCACCGCTACGTAACAACAACACATTTGAGCGAGAAAGAGGGAGATCGTTGAAGTTTAATTTTGTAAACCTTTTGTTGTGGCGCTTAATAAGAAAAACCTTAACCACTTAAACCGTTGATTGCATGCCAACAATAAGATTCATTCAAAGATTTGATAAATGATCAAACAGGTTTCCACATGTTTTATCCCAAAACAATAACAAATTTTGTTTGATTTAAAATTTCGATTTACTTCAGTAGTTAAACTTTAAGAAATTCGAGTTATAGTTTTGACGACTTTGTAGGTGGACTTATTTTAGATGACACAGATCTGATTTTTTGTCTAAGTTCTAAAACCAAGAGGACGGTTATTTTAAGAAATATTTTGTATCTTAAAAATGTTATATTTTTTGTTTCAGATTAATAAATAACGTGAAGAATGGAGACCAATAACAGATTTTTTCCTTTAAGACACTCAAAAAGATGATTAAGATCAGAATCCTAACTTTGTATTTATAATTATTTTTATAAATATAAGACAAACTAGAATAATGTTTTCGAAAACTAAAAGCAAGATACATTTATGTAATTACCATATTTAAGAAATTAATAAAGTTTTGTTATTAATGAAGAATGCTTTTATTTTGGAAATCGTTTGATTTCAACACCTAAATAAAACTCAAACACATCGCGTAACAGGAAATAACATCTGTTGGCAACGGTGTTTCAAAACTTTTTAATAACATTTCTGCATATAAATTTTTATACAGGATAAGTCAGAGAAATGCTATTTTTTGTTGTTGTTGTCAATCAAATATATAAATAATATTGTTTTTCCCACACTATATTCAAAATGTGTTTAGTTCCATATTTTTATTCTCTACTTAGTTTAGTTAGAGCTGAGTTGCAATAAGCATATACAGGATGGTTCAAATTCAATGCCCGAATAGGCTAACTCAGAAACTATAAGAGTTAGAAAAAAAGTAGCTTACATGTCATGATCTCGTTTTTCGAGAAACTACTAATGCCGAAAACCTCAAAGCGCTATCGTCTTTTGTCTTTCCCCTAGAGGCCAAAATTGAAAATATCGTAAAACCAGCAAGTGCAATTATCTTGGTTATTATTATAGGTGGAGTATTATAACTAATTATAAGACATTATATAGACACTTTCACAGAGAATTTGATGACGTAGTCAAAAAAAAATTTTCTGTTTTAGATTTCTAGATATTATGACAATTTCCGTTGTTTTAAATGGAAACAATCACTGATTATTCGCTTATTAAATTCCTGATTTTTTTCTGATTACAAAAATATGGGGTTATAGGGGTCTATTTCTTATTGTTTTAGAATAAAGCTAAAAATAAACTTTTTTTTAGTGTCGTCAAAGAAATTAAATTTACAGTTTTCTGTAAATTACGGTACTATAACTAAAAATTATTCTACTAAAAATTTATATAATATTTACTTTATTTTCTAACATGTTAAACTTTTCGTAATCCATCTTAAAAAAAGGGATTTTTAAATTGACACTTCAGAAAATGTTTGAATGTTGCTATGTTTATTTGAATTAAAAAAAAATAAAGTCCCTAGATTTACAAAGTACCGCGGTTTGACGCCATTTTGACTCGAAAGTCAAGCGGGAAATTTAAAACTATGTCGTTCTATTGATAACATTACGCCAAATTTCCTTTCTTTTTTTCTCGTGGTACTCTGAAGAGTCGAAAGTCCTTCTTACTCTCATTTTTGCAACCCCAAAGGCAACAAGACGGCAATATTTTTGTAAATAAGTGGTGAGATGCAGTGACAAGTTGTCAAACCGCCATTTTGGCTCGAAAACAGGCGTCATGGACCGCGGTACTTTGTAAATCTAGGGACTTTATAAAAAAATATATATGAGCACCATCTATGAATAATTTATTAAGTCATTTAATAATAATAAATAAAAAAATCGAAAATATTAACAAAAAATGTCAAATAATGCAATATATTCCAACTTTTGTGTAAAACAAATATAAATTAAATAGTTCAACAAATGTATTTATTTCAAATATCAGAAATATGTGTTTTTTAATTTTTAGTTATAATTTACAGGAAACTGTAAATTTAAATTCTTTGACAACACTAAAAAAAAAAGTTTACTTTTAACTTTATTCTAACACAATAAGAAATAGACCTTTCAACCCTATATTTTTGTAATCAAAAAAAAATAACGAATTTAATAAGTGCTTGCTTCCATTTAAAAAAACGAAAATTGTTATAATATCTCAAAATCTAAAAGCGAATTCTAATTCTCTGTAAAAAAGTGTCCATATAATGTCTTAGTTATAATACTCCACCTATAATAATAACCAAGATAATTGGACTTGCTGGTTTTACGATATTTTCAGTTTTGGCCTCTAGGGGAAAAACAAAAGACGATAACGCTAGGCTTTTGGCATTAGCAGCAATTAGCAGTTTCTCGAAAAACGAGATCATGACATGTAAGCTACTTTTCTTCTAACTCTTATAGTTTCCGAGATAGCTTATTCGGACATCGAATTTGAACCAACCTGTACATAAATTATTAATTCATGGGGCGGAGATTTGCAAACATATTTCAATTTTACCAATAGAAAAATTATCAGAGGAAATAGGGGAAGCGAGAAATAAAGATTTTAGAAAATTCCGAGAGGGTCCGAAAGATGTAATGCACAACTTCTTGATCTGATGATCTTATATCAAGTATTAGACCGAGATATTCACGACATAAACCATCAAATTTATTTCCGGAAACAAAGCAATTGTTAGTTCATGATGAAAAGGGCGAGGAATATAATAGAGAAGCAGAATTTTTAGACTGAACATTGAGTTGGTTCATCATTCAATGGGCGCTTGTTTTTATTCTTCTGTTTATACTTTTCTGATTAATATTCAATTTAAACTAAAATTAGAATTAAAACTAGAACTAACACTAGAAACGTTCGGGTTTTGCCGTGCGTCTTTTAATAAAAGGTTTGACGTTTCGGATGCCACGTTGCAACCTTCTTTAGAAACTGGTTCGAAGTTGACAGTTTCTCTTTTAATTCACACCGGCCGTGAAAGCCTTCGTACTTATAATATTCAATTTGTTGTATGTCTTTTGTGTTTTAATACGTTTGCCACTATTGTTACTTTTATTATATTTGTTACAGGTATTTATTAAATTAGTTATCTGTTCAGTTAATTGAGACTGATGCGATCCATCACATCCATATTTAGATAACAACTGAATCGTTGTCCGCTAATTTTCTGTGAGAGTCTGCACTATTTCTGTCAAATATGATATTAGCCTTTCGGAAGTGTGGTCTAGTAACTGTTGTAAACTAATTTCTACACAATTATCACTAATAAAATACGAATGCGATTTCGGATAACATAACTTTTTGACCTGTTGTAATTTACTATAGCATGGGTATTGCTTAGTTTTTACTAGCTTGTTTTCTCGAAAGTCCTGCCTCAACAAATCTCTATAGAGCTTCTAAGGGCGTGAATTTCGCTAGATTAGCTTCTTGGTCTTTATCATAAGCTTTTTTGTACTTTGTTGCCCGTTTCGGAGATTCGATAAGTTGTTGCAGAACTTTTGCAGCATCTCTTTTACCACAAGATATTAATTTGGTTTCGGTTGCAAAAACAAGCTCTTCACATGTTACATTTTTCCGTAGTGTTTCGGTTTTTCTTCTTTTTGAACGATCACTTGATTCATTGAAAGATATAACCGGACGTCCCGGTTTTATCAAGGTACAAGGTAATTGAAATTCGCCCTGAAGAAACCCATTGTATTTGTTAAGAAATTTTTAATGGTTCCTGGACGCATCCGACCATTTTGCCTGAAACTGGCTTTTAAATAATGACATTTTCTGCTTGTATACTTTAATTTCATCCACTGTATAAATTTCTTTATTGCGCAGAATATTTTAAACATATTCCAGTTTTTTCGTAATGCTGTGACCCTCGTACCCTCGCATCATATTATAAATGTTCATTGGCGTAACTGTTTTAAATCCCGATGGTCCTGCGAGAAAAAATACAATTCAATTTACAATATGAAAGGAAAATGATTTTGTAATGCGGTTGTTGAAATATTTCTAAAATGTCAAGTCGCAAATAAATTACTTTTTACCAAACACACCACACTCTAGGCTAATAAATAGTGTAAAATTCGGCACTTAGAAAGACTTGGAAATGTAACTTTAACTCTTCTGAATATGACAAATATAGGAAAACAAACAAAAATTATGCATTACTTTCAAAACCTATTATTTACTCTAATCGTATGAATGCAGATAATGATATATTAATAGGACATACCTGGCTCATTTACTTCCATATTTCAAAACTTTTTAAAGTTGTCCTCAAACCGAGTAATGACTGATATAAGTCAGGTAACTATTGACAGCACTGTAACTAATTACGTCTAGTACTATTAATAGTCAATTTTGACGTGACTTATAAGACAGGTTGATCATACATACAGTGTGCCCCAGGATAGATGTTACAAAAGGTATAATGACTTAAAAATTTTTGAATTTTATTTCAAGGCTGAGGAATTAAGCCCTGCTTGGTGTGGAGAGAATTTTAAGTATATTTTCATATTTCGAAAATAAACTCGGCCTTGATAGTGAAGCGAAAACTATTTTGAGGTCAGGTAAAGTAAGCTTTTTGTTCATAATACGGCAAAATATCATCAAGAAAAGTTATTCAGAATGAGAAATTATGGCACTATGCAAAATTTCAGAAAGATCTACCTAGATTAATTAAACCACCATATTTTAGATTAGATCAGAGTGAAGAAAAAAAAAACAATGAAAAATGCCATGAAAAAAAAATGACTTAAGTAGTCGCAAATATTGACAAATAAATTGTATTATCCTTCAGTTTTAGTTCACATTTCAATTACTATACAATATTTATGTTATTTAAACTAAAATGTGATGGTTCAACCAAAGTAGATAGATCCTTCTGAAATTATGTATAGCACCATAATTTCTCATTTTGAACACCTTTTCTTAATAAAATTTTTCAGTATCATGAACAAAAAGATTACTTTACCTAAACTAAAACTAGTTTTCGATTCATTGTCAAGACCGCCTTTGTTTTCAAAATATGAAAATATTCTTAAAATTCTCTTCACACCAAGCAGGGCTTAATTCCTTAGCCTTAAAATAAATTTCAAAAATGTTTAAGTCATTATACCTCTTGTAACATCTATCCTGGGACACACTGTATAATAAATCCATTGCAGGTAATAATACTGTATTAGCTGTAGTTTTAATGGCTTGAAAGTAATTTAAGGTTGAATCAACTTTTTAAAATGGATTTGTCCAGATAGAATTACCATTGTGCGCCGTGTATATATTATATGAGCAATATTTTGCCAATATGTTTGGTATTATTTTCATTTTAAATGAAAATAGAATTTGTAGTTACTCTATGGTCAATTTATTACCAACCACCTGTACAACACTAATGTGTGTATTATGAACACACTGTATATGAGTCAATTATTTTATGTTTTAACATTTTATAGTTTATGGTAGCAACAATTTTTTCACTTTCGTCCCACTGTTTATATTTGCTCCATTTTTTTAATGTTATAAAAGGGTGAATAAAACAATATTAATTTCATAGTATACGTAATATTTTTGAACAAACTGTGTAACAAAATAGACAGGTAGTTTCGAAGTAACCAAAAAAAAAGTTTTTTTTTTATTAGACAGAATTGCAACTAAATGTATAGCAACATAGCATTCTAAATCTTTTAAGGATTACATTATATCAAAAAATAATCATGACAACAAAACTATTGTTGTAACTTTAAATAACAGACAGAAAATGAAACTTAAAGTTAACTAAGATAACTTCTTATATTGTTTTTTTTTTAATCATTCATACGCTTGTTAATCTTCCTCTGGTGAATGCCACGCAAGGCGTTCTTCATAAAATTGTATAACAACTTGTGGGCATAACACATTAGCTTTTTTCGCAGGAACAAGATCGGCATCATCCGCCCCCTTCCATTTCATCAAAAACAACAATTCCCCAGTCATGTCGGAAGCTCCAATTATTTTCTCCGCCTCTAAACCACGATCGAAACCGCTTTTAACAGGCGCCTCTTTGCCTTTTTTATTCACCGTTTTTCGTCCTTTATCAGTCGCAGTGGTCTTTTTCCTATCGTTTTTTGATTTATCTTCGTCTTCATCGTCAGAATCTTCCGTTTCGACAATTTTCCTTCCTTTACCTTTAGTTTCTTTGAAATCAGTCTTTTTTTTTGTTTTTTCATCATCAGACGCATCTGTGTCTTTGTGAGTTTTAGATTTTTTCGAGTTTTCAGATCCACTCTCTTCGTTTGGCTTTTTCTTCTTTTTATCGTCCTCTTTTCTTCCACTACGTCGAGTCGTTTTTTTCATTTTGTCTTCGTCATTTTCGTTTGGTTTCCGACGAATACGCCTTTTTTTACTTTCATCGTCGGAGTCTGAATCAGATAAGATTTTACGTTTTTCTTGTCTTTTTTCGATTTCGTCGTCCGACGAGTTATTAGCTTGTCGATGGGATTTCCTCTCAACATTTTTCGATTTTTTGCTTGATTCTTCATCATCTGTATCGACGATTTTCGATTTATTTTGATTTTTCTTTCCGTCGTCGTCAGATAAATCCTCTTTATTTTTATCATTTGTATTATTATCATTGTCTTGTGTGGGAGAACTTGATAGTTTTTTACCCCGATACCGAGATGGTTTCTTTTTATCAGATTCGTTGTCGCTGGTTCTAGTGGTGCTCGATTCCGAAGACGAAGATCGTTCTTTACTTCTAATCTTTTTTGAGTGTTGTTTTGATGGCTCGGATCTAATCTGTATTACAATTTAATTATAAAAACGACATTTATTGGCTGTCACATAACTTGTTTAGACAAAGACAAAAAATAAGTGTTTGCAAAATGAATCCTGGAAAGTTAATATCATTAAATTTTGAAATATATGGAAAAGTACAAGGGGTTTATTTCCGAAAATATGCAAAACAAGAAGCCAAGCGCTTAAGCATACGTGGTTGGTGCATCAACACTAATCATGGAACAATTAAAGGTTATATGGAAGGTGCGCCGGAAAAAATTGAGATGATGAAGCGCTGGCTACAGATATCAGGAAGCCCGAATTCAAAAATTGCAAGAGCGGATTTTCGTGATGAAACCGAATTAAGAAATTATACTGTCAAATCATTTGAAATTCACACAGAGTGAGATGTTATTTTGATACAATAAATTACCAGTTTATTTTAACTAAATAAAACTTGCCTTCTTTTTATCTTTCTCCATATTTGTGTTTTCCGAGCCAGCAGGTGATGGTGAACGTTTCCTCTTTCGATCCTTCGCTCCTTTAACCTTACCCTTCTCCTTGTAATTTTTTTCAAAAGCTGCTATCAACTCAGGACAATCGAGGTTATCCTCAGGTTCCCAAGTGTTCTCTTCGTCCGGATAATTTTTCCATTTCAACAAATATTCTACCTTACCATTAGTAATTCGCTTATCAATAATCTCCTCCACGGAGTATTCTTCTTCGCTTTCGCTGTCCGACTGCACCTTCTTGTTTCCTCCCATCTTAAAATGTTATGGTGACGATGCCTTTAGAAAAAATATAGACGTAATAATGTTAGGTTAAATTCGTAAAAATCTGATTCAAAATAAAGGCGGATGCCAATTTATGTTTAACCCGCGAGGTTTTCCTGCAGATTAATAAAAAAGGAAATAAAAATTACCTCAAACAAAACGAGTTATTAGCGTCCAAGCGTCAATAAACCGGTGGCGAGTCGAGTAAATCTTAAGCATTCACAACAACGACATCTGTTGAATTTCGACCGATCCATAAGAAAATAACGGTTATTACATAAAAACTAAAAAATTAAACTTTAAATATTACATTAATTAACTTTAAACATCTAAGTTACATTAACAACATTCTTTAATTTAATAAAATAGCATTATTACGAATTAATTACAATATTTTTTAATAAATTTTTATTAACAACGACATCTATTGATTGATTTGATTTTCATAAAAAAATTAATGACTTTTTTTTTTAATAATTTTTCTTTTTATTTTAAAATTGAACTTTGAATATTGCTGAAATTATTTCACTCATTTAAATTAGTGAATAATTTCTAATTTATAATTAAAATATAAAAATTTATTATTCATTAATCATACATCGAAAGATGGCGCTAATTACAAAATCTTAAGCCTTCACACCAAGGACGTCTATTGAATTTTGGCCAATCCACATAAAAACTGAAAAATTAAACTTTAAATATCACAATAATTAAGTTTAAACATCTAAGTTACATCAACAACATTCTTTAATTTAATAAAATAGCATAATTACGAATTAATTAAAATATTTTTTAATAAATTTATAGTAACAGCGACATCTATTGATCGATTTGATTTTCATAAAAAAATTAATGACTTTTTTTTAATAATTTTTCTCATTATTTTAAAATTAAACTTTGAATATTGCTGAAATTATTTCAATCATTTAAATTGGTGAATAATTTCTAATTTATTTCACTAATTTATAATTAAAATATAAAAATATATTATTCATTAATCATACATCGAAAGATGGCGCTAATTGCAAAATCTTAAGCCTTCACACCAACGACGTTTATTGAATTTCGGCCAATCCATAAGAAAACGGTTATTACATAAAAACTGAAAAATTAAACTTTAAATATCACAATAATTAAGTTTAAACATGTAAGTTTCATTAACAACATTCATTACTTTAATAAAATAACATAATTACGAATTAATTAAAATATTTTTAATAAATTTTTAGTAACAGCGACATCTATTGATTGATTTGATTTTCATCAAAAAATTAATGTCTTTTTTTTAATCATTTTTCTTTTTATTTTAAAATTAAACTTTGAATATTGCCGAAATTAATTCAATCATTTAAATTAGTGAATAATTTTTAATTTATCTTACTAATTTGTAATTAAAATATAAAAATTTATTATTCATTAATCAATTTAATCATACCTCGAAAGATGGCGCTAATTAGAAAATCTGTACAATTTCGGCCAATCCATAAGAAAATAACGTTATTACTATTACATAAAAATTAAAAATTTAAACTTAAAATATTATAATAATTAAGTTTAAACATCTAAGTTACATTAACAACATTCTTTAAATTAATAAAATAGCATAATTACGAATTAATTAAAATATTTTTTAATAAATTTATAGTAACAGCGACATCTATTGATCAATTTGATTTTCATAAAAAAATTAATGACTTTTTTTAAATAATATTTCGTTTCATTTTAAAATTAAACTTTGAATATTGCCGAAATTATTTCAATCATTTCTTCAATTTCTAATTTAGCTAACCAATTTATAATTAAAATACAAAAATTTATTATTCATTAATCATACATCGAAAGATGGCGCTAATTAGAACATAACCAACATAACCTTAAAAAAAATAATAAACAAACTGGGTTTATTTACATTTTATTCCAGTAAAATAAATCTTTTTGAATAAGTAGTAATACATAAACCAAATAAAATGCAATCAGACGCCCCCGATAAGAATCAGCTTATTGCGGTGCTTCAAATATTAAAAAAATACAACTTGAAATCAACTGAAGAATCCCTCAAGAAAGAAGCGAACATTGAAGTGGATCTTGACTCGTCTTCTTTGCAACAAGAATCGGATGTTAACAGTGTTTTAACCGGTTATAAAAGTGATGGGGACCCAGAAGCTTATGAGGATAGTTATGTTGAATTAAGACGTTTTGTCGATAACACCCTCGATATATATAAGCATGAATTAGGGATGATTTTATACCCTGTTTTGGTGCACATGTATCTAGAACTGGTGTACAATGGTCATACAGAGAAAGCTATTGATTTAATGCGAAAATTTGGGCCAGAACAAGATTTATACTATCAAGATGATTTAAAAAAACTTGCGTTAATTATAAAAAGGGATCACATGAACGGAAATGAACTCGCTGATACTTTTAAATCAAATCAATTTATAATTCGGATGTCAAGAGATACTTTATCCTTATTAAAAAGGCATTTAAACGAGAAAAAAGCTTCGATTACTTTAAATATTATTCACGAACATTTATATTTTGATATGTACGAAGGAGTCGCTAGGAATAAAAGTCAAATTGATGCTACATCAGGAGCTTTAATTGGGGAAGCAACTAGACAAGGTAAAAATTTTTTTTGTTAATTACATTATTTTTAATTTTAAATTTATTTAGATAACAAAACAAAAGTGCTTTATGGAATCCCAAAAGCGCCAGATTTGGCTACTTTAACTTCAGTCCCACCAGCTGAAGATGAAGAAGAAGCTAACGAACAAGATGGGTCTGATAAACCAAAGAAGAAAAAGGCTAAAAAGGATCCTTTGTATTCAAAGAAGACAAAATCTGATCCAAATGCACCACCATCAGATAGAATCCCATTTCCAGATTTGTAATTATCTTTATGCCTTGTTACATAATCAACTTGAACAAACACTTTAGATAAAGTATAATTAAAATTACTAATTATGCTGATATGTAATGAATAAAAATTCGCAATGGTGATAAAATAGGATGGTAAAATCTAAGAAGATACATCTTTGGAATGATTAAAATGCTTAATTTATTCTATTTGTGTTATGTAATGTCGTTCTGTTTTAAGGTTTTCTGCACTAATTGGGTTATTGTATCATATTTATTTCAAATTGTGATCATCTCCATATCCTTGAATCCATTCTCTGTTAGAATGTTCAACAGAATGTCAACCACACCATAGGAGAGGCTTTGGGGCATTCTCCATGTTGTCTCGCCACCTAAACTGGCTGTGATCTGCTGACTTTTCAGCATGTCTATACACCAATTACTCGTCTACACATGGATATCTTTCACATTTAGAGCTTTCTCTATAAATTCATTGGAAGTTATGCATGCGCGTCTATACCTATGCAGAATCTACGCCATGTTTGTCTTTTCGGCTTTTAGAATGGCCAAGATATATTCCGTTAGGCCTCCTATAGGGATCCCATGTACATTTACATAAATTACATATTAGGTAGGCGAACCAACCAACCTTGCACCATGAACCTAAGGGTCTATTATACCCCGATAGATAACGTTATCAAATGTCTCTGTGCGTCCAATGTTCTTAACGAACATTAAGGCTCAACAAGTTGTGCTGTGTCTTTAATCGGCAGTGTCCAGTAAAGACACCCATTAGAACTTTAATGCTGCTACGAGGTAGTCCTAAAACATTCCCGAATTTGACAGTGGCGCTGTCATAAACAACTGGTCCACAGTAGGCAATGTACGACTCTCTTCAGCCCACAGTCCAATTCTATGCTGGCTCTGGCCCCACAAATGCTTCATGTACTAGCTCATCTGCCGCTTCATTGCCATCAACCCCACGACCTGGGATCCAGATCAGAGAAATTCTGTTATCCCAACTCAGTGTGTTTAAAGTTCTCTTACAGTCATTAACCAGAGCCGACACCGTTTTCACGGCCTGCAGTGCCTAGAGAGCGACTTAACTGTCACCCCTCTTTCAAGAAGGATTTTAGCACCCATGTCAATAGCAAATACTTCCTCTTGGAATACAGTACAGTACATACCTAGACTGTAAGCTTGCTTAATTCGAAGTGTCTGGCAGTATACTCTTGCCCCGGTCCCTTCTGACGATTTTGATCCATCTATGAAAATGCAAATATCTGCCTGAACCAGAGAGGAGCATTTTAAAGTTTATACACAGGCAATTTTTATTTCTTGTTGACAACGATTTTGAATTTATTAAACAAATAACAATGATGGTTACTTTAAATTTACCGCTAAAAATATCTAATGATATTTTCTGGTGATATTTCCTAGTGTAAATCTGACTTTCGGATTCACTCCTCCTAGTTTAAAAACAGACTATAGTGATCCTGCCAAATCTGACGACATTGATAGCACAATATCAGTGCTTATAATGTCTTTCACAGTCTATTGGTGGCATATGTTGGAACAGGTTTGAGCAAATAGCTTAACAGGTTGACTGCCACAGCTTTTTTTATTGCATTGCCAAAATTATTTTGCGACCGTACGTGGTACATGTTTCAATTTCTTTTTCGAATTAATGAGTACCATTGTACAGTGGTACAATAAAGTCTACATACACCCCAGAAAATCATAATCTCAGCTCCTGAAATTTTTAAACGAATGATATTAGAAGTGTATGTTATTAGAATATTTTACATAAAAATGTATAACTTATTATTTATATTGAAAAACACAAAACATAATCATATTTGTAACTCAAAAAAGTCTACATACAGCTATAACACGACACTACTTTTTATTTGTAAACATCATAGTTGATGGAGTTTCGTTTTATTTCATACCAACGTTGTTGCTATATCAGTAACATAAATTAGTGTAATTAGTAATACAATGGAAGCTAAACGGAAAGAAATACCCTATGCAGTGCGAAATATCATAATTCACAATCATAATAATGGTCGTTCATTAACTGAAATCGCAAAAATAGTTAGTAAAAGTCGCTCTTCGGTCCAGATAGTAATTCAAAATTATAAGAAACGTCAGTCAATCAAAAACAAACCAAGAAGTGGCCGACCACGTATACTGACACCTAGAGATAATCGGTCAATTTTAAAAATGATCAACGATCAGCCGACAACAACTGCGGTTGATATAACCAAATCACTCGCGGCATCAAGCTCTATAACCGGCTCTATAAAGGTGTTATGAAGTGAAGGCTATAATAGTAGTGCTCCAAGAAGAAAGCCGTTTATATCCGAAATAAATGCGAAAAAAAGAGTCGATTTTGCCAAATTAAACAATTATGGACCGCTATGTTTATCTGAACATATTGCGAACTAATTTAAAGGAATCGTCAATAAATTAGGCTTGGGAACAGAGTGGATATTCCAACACGATAATGATCCCATGCACACATTGTGAAGGAATGGGTATTATATAATGTCCCTTAACAGCTACACTCACCACCGCAGTCTTCTTGACCGCAAAATTCGGAAATAAAAAATAAAAACAACTTAAAAGCTGCACTATTATGGGAATGGGAATTTCATAACAACTTTGTTAGGCACGGATATTCCTTGCATTGCTTCTTTCCCGGCGTATAAATATACATCATGGCCTCAAGGACAATACTTAAAACAAAATACAGTCGCTTGCATAAACCAACGTATGTGTACCAGAAACGGAACACATGGCAGTCAACCTAAATAAATAGTAGTAAACCTAAGTAAATGGTAGTTCTAGTCACTTTCTCTATATGGAAATTCAAAGAGATAAGCCAAGCAGAACATCAATTTGCTAGAGTTAGCGTTGTGCTTATCGCACCAGAGACTGCCAATCCAGCTACCCATTGAATTCATGAAACTTTATTGATAACTGAAGTCTGTCGGACTTTCCTGTACTAGGCTGCTGCTTCATATGTGATCGTGGGTCTAACCACAGTCACATAGAGCCAGTACAGTCTTTCAGGGGTAAGACCCCAATTTTTTCCACAAAGACTGCGACAAGTCCACAAGGATAGTCTAGCTTTGTGCAAAATTCCTTGCAAATCTCCTTTCCATGACAAGGTTTTGTCTAGGATTACTCCTAGATATTTGACTTCCTTTGAGAAAGGAATTTCTTCACCTTGGATAGTTACATGGGAATGCTAGAGTTTGGAATGCCCGATTTGTTCAAGATCCTTAGTTAGTCCACTAAGGTACATTGAATCGTGCTCTTTTGTGTTTTATTGGAAAACTTGATTTATATGTATAACATCATTTTCATTCTCTGACATCATTTTCTAGATTACAAAAGATGTGACAGTCTTTAGATTTTATGATCTTTGCTAAAATCGGCTGTTATCACCTAGATACTTTATCAGAAGGATGGTAAAAGTTGATTATAAAACCAGGCGTTAATATAATTTATTTATTAAAACCTTATACATTATTTATATTTAGGAAAGACAACGATAAAATAGAAAGGATAAAACTGCTTAGAGAATCGTCCAGAAGAGTTAATTTGGGAGCTGAAACTTTACCATCAATATGCAGTTATACGTTATTAAATGCAAATCATAAGTAAGATTTTTTTTTTAATTTTTAAACATTTAATAACGTTTTTAATGTAGTGTATCCAGTGCTGAAGTGGCCGAAGATTCCAGTATGTTAGCTGTTGGAATGGCGGATGCATCAATAAAAGTATACACATTAATTCCACAAAAATTAAGATCGATGAAAAGCGCCGATCAACTTCAAGATATCAATATCGACGCGGATGATGTTCTCGTTCGAATGATGGATCAAAGATCTGGGGAATCTTCCAGAACGATGTTTGGCCATTCCGGCGCTGTATATTCCCTGGCGTTTTCACCAGATCGTTCTCTTTTATTGAGTTGTTCTGAGGATACCACAATCCGTTTGTGGAGTCTTCAAATTTGGAATTGTGTTGTTGTTTATAAAGGTCATATGTACCCGGTTTGGAACGTTCGATTTTCACCGATGGGTTATTATTTTGCAACGTGTTCTAATGATAGAACAGCGAGATTATGGGCTACAGATCAATATCAACCATTAAGAATTTTCGCGGGACATTTTTCGGATGTTGATGTTGTTCAATTTCATCCAAATTCGAATTATGTCGCGACTGGTTCGAGCGATCGTCGGGTTTGTTTGTGGGATGTTTTAACTGGAAATCACGTCCGGTTGATGACCGGGCATAAATCGCCGATTTATGCTTTGGCATTTAGCGTTTGTGGGAGATTTTTAGCATCGGGTGGTTCGGATACGAAAGTTTTGGTGTGGGATTTAGCTCATGGACATCTCGTAGCGGAACTTGGAGCGCACGAGAAAACGATACATTCCTTGATTTTTAGCCGATGTGGAAATATTTTAGCATCCGGCTCGTTGGATTGTACGGTGAAGTTATGGGATTTTAATAAATTAGCTGAAGATACTAATTCGGAGGATGTTAATATTTCGCATAATCCGGAAGTTAAAAATGGCGAGGCTTATTTAATGCGTAGTATTGGAACGAAAAATTCGCCAATTGTTTCTTTACACTTTACAAGAAGAAATTTGCTTTTAGCTATTGCCGTTTTTGATGGACTCCCATCCGCTTGAATCAAAAACAATGTTCTTTGTAGGTTTATGAGATATAAATAAATAATTTTCAATAACAGAAGTGTATTTCATATATCAAAAAGATTTGGTACCATTGGTTCCCCCAATTTCTTTTGCACCACATCATCCTCAACACTTACATATTTTGTAATATCCGTTATATTCTTATTTAATAAACCATTCTCGTCTGGTACATCCGCTTCCAACAATTTTTCATCACCATCTAAAGTTGATGAGTCTCCATTATTTTTTGTAACGATTTTTATTATCTTTTTTATGTTTCATAATTTCCAGGATTTCGAGAAGATCCATTTTAAAACTCTTCTCACATTTATAAAGTAATTTTGTTTCTTTATAGTTGATATTATGTCCTGTTTCCATAAATATGATGTTTAAAAACAACCCAAGTTTCCAGCCTTCGACCTGTCTGTCCTATGTACAGTGAGTTACAATTTTCACATCCAATGCTATACACCCCGCTTTCTTTCATTATATCTTTATCGTTTTTGTGATAATTTGACAGAAGTCTTAAAATGGCGTTGCTATTTGAAAATGCTAATGAAATTCCATATTTAGAAAAAATATGTTATGCCTTTAAAGTGATGTCATTAAATGTTATGTGCCTATATTTATTTTGCTGAACTTCTCTAATAAACAATGGATCCTTTTGTGTTTGAGCTTTAGAAAACAACATACAAATGATATTTTTAGGAAAGCTATTATTGTGGGCTAATCAAATATGTAATTAATTTCCTCTGTCTTAATGGGTAGCTGAAAATTCTATTAATTAAAAATCTAAAATTAGCTAATTTTTGGGACAAAGGTGTTCTGAATTGTATGGTATGGTAGTGGCTATAGCTGAAGTTTTTTTAAAAATCCCATCTTCAATTAAATAATCTTTGGTTCTCGTTAAGCTCAAATTCAAGAAATTTAGTTTTCCTTTTTCTTCCATTTCCAGTGTGTATTTAAGATTGCTCTGTAAACCATTGTTGTAATTGTGAAAGTTATGTAAAGATTCCTCATTCCCCTTCCATACACAAAAGACGTGATCCACATATCTAGCCCAACAGCCAATATTGTTCACGTAAGGATTAGCTTCATTCATGATGAAATTCTTTTCAATATGATCCAAAAATATATCCGCCAGCAATCCAGATAATGGCATCCCCATGGGTAAACCTTCGGTAACCAAATAAAATTCTCCTTCAAGCTCGCCTTCAAGATTCGCCTTCAGCTGCAGTTTATGCATCCTAGGGTAGGGATGGCACGGAACGCAATATTTTGGACACGTCACTGATCACAAAATTCATTATGATGCACTACGAAAAAGTGTGAAGTAGGTATTATATGACGGGCGAACGCGAGTGATCCCTACAATCTACATCACGAGTTTTTATCGCTAATGACGCATAGTTTGTTTATGCATAACATAACAGCGAATATTTGATTTGAAGTTTATTTGAGTTTTATCTATGATTTTAACTGTTATTTAATATGGCTAGTTCAGCAAAAAAACCAAAAGTCCAAGATAGAAAGAGTATCAGAGAATTTCAAACTTGGTGGACAGAGAAATATGGCATGATTAGTAAAGGTGACAAGGCGGTGTGTGTTTTATGTTCTGGAACATCGTCTGTGAAACGTCATTTTGAAACAAATCACAAATCCGTTAGTCAAAAAAGCGAACCATGGCAAGTTGCGCGGCTACAAATGTCATTGTTCGGCATAGTAAACCTTTTCAAGAGGGACAGTTTTTACAGGAAATCTGGTTAGCATGGGCGCCCCCTCTTTTTGATGATTTCGATAATAGAGATAAGATAATTCAGCGCATCAAAGATACTCCTCTGCCCAGAAACACAATAAAAGAAAGAATCTTAAAACTGGCCGAAAATGTAACAGATCAACAAAAAATTGACATTAGCTCTGCTTCTTTTATATCGGTATGTCTTGACGAAAGCACTGACGTCGCTAAATCTGCTCATTTAGCTGTTTTTGCTCAATATTACGTTGGAAACGTCATTAAGGAAGAATTAGTTGCGATCAAATCGTTGCTAACAACTGCAAAGGGCACTGATAGTTGTACGTCTGTTAAAAATTCGCTTGTTGCAAAAAAAATTGTTTCCGTAGCAACTAATGTTGCTCCAAGTATGGTGGGTAAAAAAAATGGTTTCATAAGTTTACTTTAAACAGACGTAGCATTCGATTCTTCAATTCCACTGCATCATTCACCAACAAGCCTTGTATGCTAAAAGTGGTTTAACATCTCTTGGTAATGTAATGGCGGTAGTCACAAAAATAATCAAACTCATCTCGTCGCAGGCTTTAAACAGGCGAAAGTTCGATGCTTTGTTAGATGAAGTCAACTCGGTGTACAATGACTTACTGTACAATAATGTTCGGTGGTTGAGTCGCGGGAACGTACTTCAACGATTTGTTGATTGCTTGGAAGAAATCAGACAGTTTCTGCAAAATGAGGGAAAAGTTGAAGAATACCCACAGTTGTTGGATGTTATGTGGCTTTCAAAATTGATATTTTTTACAACATTTAAATAAGTTAAACATGAAGCTTCAAGGCATAAATAAAACAATTATCGTCATGGTAGATCTCATCCGCGCGTTTGAGACCAAACTGCAAGTTTTCAGGAACGATATTATCAGAAGAAACTACAAGTATTTTCCAAACTTGAAAAAATATATCAATGATTTGGAAATACATGAGAAACCAGACGAAGACCAAGTTACTGTAGAATTTATTTCTGTGATTGATTCCTCAATCAGCGAGATTTTCTCAGTTCAAAGAATTATCGGAAATACTCAATCTTATTATGTACCCTGATGAGACGTCATTGGATAAACTGAATTTGTCCCAATTGGATTGGTTGGAAATTGAAGAATTTGAAATGCAGCTGATTGATTTCCAGTCTAGTTCAATATGGATTCAAAAATTTATTGAAACAAGGAAAGAGTTAGAATTAGTTGAAACAGAAAGATAATAATAAAAAATTAATAATAACAAAATTCTGGAAACATGGAGACCAGACACAATTAACATTAAAGACTCGGTTAGAAACCGTTTGACAGATGACTCCAGTCCAACATGCATTCTGCTAAAAAAATGTCTTACAACCCTAACATATGTTATTTGTCATCTAATCTGCAACAACAGAAGTCACACTAATTTTACTTTAATTTAAATTACGCGTATAATTGAAACATTGCAAAATGTTCCTATTTTTTTGTAGTAAATAAAGAGTTTTGTGTTGATAGTATTTATTACTAATATATTCCCAATAATCACAAAGGCAAAATTTTTTATGGCACGTCTATGACCACATTAAACATTTCTTTAGAAAAATGGCACGTTGATACGTAAAGGTTCGCCATCCCTGTCATAGATGGATCAAAATCGTCGGAAGGGACCGGGGCAGGAGTATACTGCCAGGCACTTCGAATTAAGCAAGCTTACAGTCTGGGTATTAGAGATAAGCTAAACTGCGATTGGTTAATCATATGACACATTGCTAATGCTACTACCAAATAGCAGTGATTGTAAACTGCTAATAAGGACTTTTAGATTTTTATTAATATAAACGTTGTATAAACAGCGTATATATTTATTATTATAAATTTTAAACAATATATATTGTATATTGGTAGTGAACACAAATAAAAGATTAAAAAAACATAAACATGTATTGAACAAACTATGTAAAATATAATAAGTTAAAAAACAAAAGTAAACTCTTTGGCAACTTAAAAATAAAACTCTTGGGAGTCTTGGACGACAACGAAACAACTATTGGCTTACAAGTGAATTCCATTAACATTCAAAAATAAAATCATGTTGGCTTTTGTTGTACTTAAACGACTTCTTTTGTCTGTAATAACCAAGCCTGCTTTTGAAAATACCCGTTCACATGGTACTGAAGTGCATAAAGCACTGAGCTTTTCTTGGGCAACACGTTTTAGGTAAGGATATTGATATCCATTGATCCTCCACCATTTTAACGGATCCTCGTTTCTAGGAATTAATCCGCATTCGAGAAATCTCTCGATTTCAATAATAGCGCGTGTTGATGTTGAGGAAGTTTCTTGAGGAACAGCTTTATCGGATGTATTTTTGTCAAATGCGGACCACACCGAAAGTTCATCATCATTCACCTCTTCTGAGGAATTTATGCGAATATTTTGATCTTGTGTACCTTCATTCGAATTCGATACCTTAACAATCATGTCAGTCACAGCAGATATCATTTGTTCCTTAACCAGCCCTTGTGCTGTTTGATTTGTAAAAGCATGTAACTTAAATCTAGGGTCGCAGAAACTGGCCCCACAAAGAATTCTGTTTTCATGGACTTTTTCTAAACGATTCTTAATACCACTTTGAAATATTTGTAATACTTTTTTTATACAATCAGATAAATCTTTTTGTAGCAGTTTTGCACAGATATCAGTTAAACCATTGACGACAGGTATAACAATTGCTGCAGTTCCGTAAGTGTCACCACTAAATATTTTTGTGGCCGACTCAAACGGTTTTAGAATTTGTACCAATTCTTTCAGAATTTGCCATTCTTTTTGCTCTAAAATCGGCAGATTGGTACTTAGTAGCGCTGTTGTTGCCTTTACAGCTTCTTCAAGTTGTATAAATCTTTCGAGCATATAGAATGTGCTATTCCATCTCGTAGGGATGTCTTGCAACAACTTAAGTGGATTATTATTGCCATTGTTCCGCTGATACGTTAAGAATTTTGCACTACTTGTAGTACTTCGTTTAAAAAACGCCACAATTTTCTTAACTTTTTCTATTATGGATACAATATTATCGTCACATTTTAGTCCAGCATTGACTATTAAGTTTAGGGTATGCGCCAAACAACCAAAGTGATTCCACTTTAATCGGGTTTCCATTGCATTAACAATATTATACGCATTGTCGGAAATTCCTAATAATACCTTCTCTTTGATGTTCCAATCTGTCACTACCGTATCAAGACATTCGGCAAGATTTGCAGAGGTGTGGTTTCCTGGCAAATGTTTGCATT